ATTAGCTTACATTGGTCTTTATTTCTCAGACAGGTAGGTGCTGTTGGAATTCATTGTCATTTGCCCTACAGCAGGGGAACATTAAAATAAGATAAATGGGAGATTTTATCTCTGGATTGTCATTTGTTTGTATAATCTTTATAATACGAATTAGTCCATTAGTCTGACTTGTACTTCACATCTGTGTATATACTTCTGAATGGAAAACACTGATGTTAATGAATGGAAGGCTAAAGGGTAGAATTCAGTAGAATACACACGTTTGATCAGGCATTACAGATTCTGGTTTACGTGATTAATGTCTAAGACAGGTGTCCTCAAACTATGGCCTGCGGGACATTTATCCGGCTTGCTGGGTGTTTTTGCCACCGCTGCCTATCCTGCTTAGCAACCGACTCGTCCCAGGGCCTGCAGTCCAGCCCTCCAACCATCTGAGGGACGGTGAACTGGCCCCCTGTTTAAAAAGTTTGAGGACCCCGATCTAAGAGATGGCTAGTAAAAGTATGTTCTACTTGATGAGTGACTGAACACAACTGATCATTCTCTTTTCCCTCTCTCTTTTTTTTTTTTTCTTTGAGACCGAGTCTTGTTCTGTTACCCAGGCTGGAGTGCAGTGGCATTATCATAACTTACTGCATTCTCAAACTGTGGGGTGCAAGTGATTCTCCCATTTCAACCTCATGAGTAGCTGGGACTGTAGTTAGGCACGTGCCACTACACCTGGCTAATTTTCCTAATTTTTGTAAAGATGAGGTCTCACTGTGTTGCCTAGGCTGGTCTTGAACTCCTACCCTCAAGAGATCCTCCTGCCTCATCCTCCCACAGTGCTAGGATTACAGATGTCAGCTGCCATACCTGGCCTGATTCTTTCTTGAAGCTCTCTTTCTCCTTCATTTCAAGATAGCATTTTCTTCTTCTGTTTTTCTAGCTGTTTTTTCTCAGTTTCTTTTCCTGGTTCCTTTCCCTTCGTTTTACAGTATTGTTTCCTCTTTTCATACTAATTCGTCCTAGTGCAGAGAGAATTTCTTTGGTAGACCTAAGAATTCATCTAGTCCCTTCCCCCAACACTTGCACGGTGCAGCTGCATTGCACTTCTCACTCTTCCTTATGTGTGCTGTGTTCTTTAAAGCCTTCATCGTCTTTCCTCATATGGGAAGAGCCTTCTTTCCCTTCTCATTGCCTCTCTTTGCCTTTTCTGACTCTTCCAGGGTAGTAAGTTACTCCTTCATGTTCTCCTTGTATTTTATAGGGGCCTATGTTAAAGCCTTTATCACATTGTAACATATTTGCTTATCTCACCACTGGATTTTGAGCTTGTCTAAGGCAGAGACCTAGTCTTTTTTGTTTATTCAACTTCCTCTCTCCCCAATTTATTGTCTACTTTGTGCCCAGCATTGTGTCATTATAGAAAATGTGGAAATAGTGCAGAGAGAATTTCTTTGGTATTAAGCCTTTTCTTTTTTTTTTCTAGGTCGTGATATCATTGGGCTGGCAGAAACCGGCTCTGGAAAAACAGGGGCTTTTGCTTTGCCCATTCTGAATGCGCTGCTGGAGACACCCCAGCGTTTATTTGCCCTAGTTCTCACTCCCACTCGGGAGCTGGCTTTTCAGATCTCAGAGCAGTTTGAAGCCCTGGGGTCCTCTATTGGAGTGCAGTGTGGTAAGTGTTTGCGAGGTGAGAAATCCTACACAGTTGCAGAATGAGCGTGAAAGGAGAAGGGAGGAAAGAATTACTAGCGTAAGTTATTGACCTAAACAGCTGATGATGTATTTTAGCTTTGGGAAAAGTATTAATTATAAGGGAAGAACAAATTTAAGCACTAAGTAGAAAGCTAGCATTGGCTTTCAGTGATGTTCAGTGGACTACGAAAAATAATTAAGGGTCTCATTTCTATGTTCTTTTATTTCTATAGCTGTGATTGTGGGTGGAATTGATTCAATGTCTCAATCTCTGGCCCTGGCAAAAAAACCACATGTAGTAATAGGTGAGTAACTGGCAAAAGTAAAAGACACTAGTGATGATGAATTGGGAAAAAAATCTACCAAGGCTAGGTGGAAAGGCTCTGAGGAACAGGTTTTTGTAACTTCATTTTTTAAAAATATCTTAGATTTTTTGGCTGGGGAGAGTAGATAATTTTATTTCTTTTTTTTTTTTTGTCCTTGTTCTGAAACATTGCACTTTTCTTCAACCTTTCTTAATAGCAACCCCGGGGCGACTAATTGACCATCTGGAAAATACCAAAGGCTTCAACTTAAGAGCTCTCAAATACTTGGTCATGGATGAAGCTGACCGAATATTGAACATGGATTTCGAGACAGAGGTGATTTCTCAATTTTATTCTTTTTATTTTATTTTATTTATTGTTTTTGAGACAGAGTTTCAGTCATTCACCCATGGTAGAGTGCCCTGGTGACATAGTTCACAGCAACCTCAAACTCTTGGGCTTAAGTGATTCTCTTGCCTTAACCTCCCAAAGTAGCTGGGATTACAGGAGCCCACCACAATGCCTGGCTCTTTATTTGTTGCAGTTACCATTGTTGTTTAGCAGGCCTGGGTCGGGTTCGAACCCACCAGCTTTGGTGTATGTGGCCGGCACTCTAACCACTTAGTGATGGGTACAGAGCCTCTTTATTTATTTATTTATTTTTTTATTGTTGGGAAATTATTGAGCCAGGTTATACTGCTTGTGTTTGCTGGGTGAAGTCCCTGTATTAATAGTGTCCTAGC